CCCCTTACTGATGTCTCTGCAGATTCTGCAGATAATGTCAAGATTACGGTTTGCTCTCAGGGAGATATGATTATGTCACGATGTTGAGACCACTGAAGAATGTCCGTGATGGTTATGCCCAAGTCTTTTTTTCCGCTAGCTGTGGTTAGTAGGGTCCCATCTAGGTAGTATTTTCTGTTTGACGGCGATTTTTTCCTGGAGATGTTTAGGGTCTTGCACTTTGGTATGCTGAGGCTCATTGCCCAGGTGTGACTCTAGTTGGCTGAGCTGAGTCAAATCTCGCTGAAGAGAGATCTTATCAGAAGGCTTCGAAATGATCTTGTATAATTTGGAGGCGTCAGCGAAAATTGCTATTTTAGAGTCATATTGGATGCGTTGGTATAGGCGAGAAAGAGAAGTGTAACCAATATGGAGACTTGAGATACTCCAGAAGGTACCTTCCATAGCATTTTATGCAAACCTCTTTATCTAATGACGTCGGGTAGACTCTCAACATATGGCCATTGACGTGGTCCTGGTGTTGGAACAATTTTGAGGAGAGCCAGTAATTGGTTGCAGAGTTACACCTCGCCAATAAATTACAAGCGTAACGAGGGTTAGACAAGCTGTCCTTAATAGAATAATATAATGTTGCAGGGCTCTACAGCTGAATCTTAGCCTGTGAACAGGCCCTCTGTCTGGGGAAAGGGTCAAAAAATCGCAAGGGGAGGGAAGGGAAAGGATGAGAGCCTACAGACAACCATTTGGGACCGTCGTTCCACCAATCCACGGCACCCGCTGTGCATCAGATCCTGATGCAAGCTCTTATTGGGGAGAACACTGACTGTTGATAGGTTTGATTTACATCTCTTCTTTTGTCGGCACGTAGCACGCGATTTGATTTAAATAATCGCTTGTAAACAGCGCCTCTGACCTTAACATGACGTCTTCTGGCCCTTGACTGATGAGCTTTCTTAGCCGCAATGAATGTCCTCGTATCAGACGGCAAATTACGCCGACCAGAGACAATGACCGCAGAAAAATCAATATGCATGTCACGACCTCTTAATACGAAATAAGCGGCAAAAATGACATTTTCTCAGTTAAAACTAAACCCTCCATAGCAGAATAAACTCATTGGAAAGAGCAGCATTTTGGCACGAGGTGAAGTTGTGTTGCCAACCGACCACCTTTTACACGCGAAATTCTGTATATAGAGAGAAAACCGTTTACCCAAAAACCCATAAAACCTCCATATATCGGCCCGTGGACTACACAGGAGGGACGTAACACACATTTAAGTAAGGTAAGCTGTTTTTTATTGGAATCCTTTCATTTTCGAATGTTACTGAAACGATAGGTTTTTTTCCCATACAAGGTTTTTTTTTCCCATACAAATCCCATATATTTCGAATATTACGCAACAATGACGATGTTTGCCTATGCTCATATTTCGAGCTTGGGATACTTGTGATCGAGCTCAAGCAAGAGCCTGATGTTTAAAAGACAGTTGAAAAATCAGACAAACTCTGATCTAGATCCTACTCAGCGCAAATGAGTATTTTAGATGGGACTTGGAAGAAATCTTACAATTCGTGACCTTATTTACTCTATTTACGTATGTCCACACTTCAGCGGTTTTTTCTTTAGTGCTTGGAAGGGGTGCAGGAAGCTCTTGATGAAGCTCTGGTTAAGTATCATCCTAAATATAGCTTGATTGATCGATTGGCAAGATTAAGCGTGTCCTGAACGAAAAGCTAGCAGAGAAGAAAGTTAAGAAAATATCAAGAAGATCATAAACAGAGATGAAAGACTAAACTCTGTTACTAAATTGCGCAACGGATCAGAGGCGCACCATCATTAGCGTGACCGCCTCAATCAATCAATCACCAATCAATCAACTCTATTTAAACAAGGTAAATGGCTCAGCAAGCTGGTTTTCAGACATGCCGTGTGATAATTACAATTTATAAAAATTAAGACTAGTGATTAACTAACAATAATTATCACAAGAATTGACAATTTTATCTGTTCCTATCGACTGTCATAAACGTAACCATCTAGTTTATATGGTACTCAAGACTAATAATAGTAGTAAAAAAATAGTAATAATTTGAAATGCAATATAACAGCAAGAAATGAGTCATCAAAGAAATAAGATAAAAATATAATAAAAAAGTTATATTCTAGGATATCGCGAGTTTAAGCTAGTAAGATCCCCCATCTCACGTGTTTTATTTGACAGTTGGTTCCAAACCATTGCACCCCGATAAGAAAATGAACGCTTAAGAAAATTTGTTTTAGGTAGTGGTAGTTGGAGATCACTGACCGCCTCTCCCTCTCTCGGTTCCGTTGCTTCCGAATCATTAACATAACAACGCCTGCCCCTCTATTGGCTCATTGTTTCCAGGGGAAGCGATAAGATGGCCTATATCTGGAGGCCACTAAATATTTTGAGAACAAAAACTCAGGAATCATTTTTAAGGGTAAATTTATGTTACTTGTTATAAACGCGGCATGTTCTGTGCACAGTCCTTGTCTATTTAGAACGATAAGTCACAACAGTTGAGGTCCACTACGAATGACACTGATTTTCCTGACACAGACTTGATACGAGTGTGTTCAACTGACTCGTAGTCGTTTAACGGCTCAATATATCATGGTCCCTCGGCTTTCCTCAGTGGAAGGGCTTTGCAGTTCATTATTATGGACAGCTTGTCTAAGTCTCCTTGTGTTCTTGTTCTATTGGCGTGGTGTGGCTAGTTTCACCCTTCTCAAAGCTGTTCCAATTCCAGGGCCTCGCCAGTGGCTGTACATTGGAAATCTTCCCGATGTCATTAAATATGGAGGAATGCACTCGATGTTGTGGGAATACTATCACAGGTATGGTCGAGTTTACAAGATGGGCTAAGGAAGACGACCGACGATCGTAATCACAGACCCAGAGATGATCAAACAGATCACCATTAAAGAATTCCCGAAGTTTCAAAACAGATGGTTTCCTGAAGTTAACCCGCCCATGAGTTCGTTCCTGTTCATCGCTAAGGATGACCAGTGGAAGCGAGTTCGCACAACGCTCTCACCGACGTTCAGTGCAACAAAATTAAAAGAAGTCATTCCATTAATGGAGGAAGCTTCGGATGTTTTGACTGGGAAACTCACAGAAGCCGCAAAAACAGGTGAGGATGGCAAATATGACTATTTTCCGCAATATTGTCTTTTGTTGGCTACCAGTTTCACAAATTTCTGTCAGTCTCGTTTAGCAATGGTAGTAATGGTCAAGTCCTTCTTATGGGGAGTAAACGAAATTGACTGTAGAAAGGCAGTATCCCACCCAGTCCCCGCCAAATCGTGACTTGCCACTGGCGGATCAGAGGGGAGGGCGGGGGACCCGGGCTCCCCCTTATTTTTAGACCAAACTGAGGGCCGAAGGGCGGAAAAAAATTTTTTCGGAGACCGCCCCCCCCCCTTCCCCTTATATAAGGCTTTGTAAGTTACGCGCAAGTGGCATCCGAAGGAGGCTCACTGCGCGCGCGGAACTTGCAACTTTTCGATTTCGCAGGTTACTGAGACTCCTTTGCGGGCAGACACATGGACGGATGGATGGATAGGTAGGTTAGAGAGAAACACTATAAATAATGCATTTTCATTTTCTCACTATTACACCACTCATTTTGCAGGACACAGCACTGACGTCAACCCACTGTTTAGCTTATTTGCACTGGAAGTAATTCTATCCGCAGCATTTGGGATGCAAGCTGATATCCAAAGCAATCCCGACTCGGACACTGTTGAAAAGGCCAAAAACGTGTTCCGAACTCCGTTGTGGGTGCGCGCGTTTTCCATGTTCCCTTTTTCCGATTACTTCAGCAAAAAGTTAAATCTCAGTCCCCTTAATCACACCGACTACTTCATAAGAATGGCCCGAGTAATCTATGATGCCAGAAAGGCACAGAAAACGCGAAGTCGGAAGGATTTACTGCAACTGATGCTTGAAGCCCAGAAGCAAGAGATAGAAGGGAAGAGGATGAGCGATGAAGAGGTATCTGCACAGTCTGTCATCTTCATGGTAGCAGGATTTGAAACGACTGGAAGTACGCTATCTTACATGGCGTATCTACTCGCTGCGCACCCAGAAGTCCAGGAAAAACTCCTCCAAGAACTCGACAAGGCTGTAAAAAACCGTGGGGACATTCCTCTGTACGACTTTATTAACAGCCTGGATTATCTTGACCAGGTGTTTTGCGAAGTCTTACGGCTCTATACACCCTGGTATTTGGTCCACCGAAGATGTAACGAGGCCTGCACCATAAATGGAATCACAATTCCACAGAATGTAGACGTGTTTATGCCGCCCTATGTACTCCACCGTGACCCTCCGTTGTGGCCTGATCCGGAGAAATTTGATCCCGATCGCTTCTCCCCAGAGAACAGGGACACCCAAGAAGCATACTCGTATATGCCGTTTGGTGTGGGTCCCCGGCAGTGCATTGGATTCCGCTTCGCCCTGCTTGAGATGAAGACCGCGATGTTCAAGATACTGTCCAGAGTCAAGTTTCAAAGAGCTGCAGACACAGTGTCTAAGCTAAGATTTCGATCCGTGCTTCTAATGCAACCACGCGATCCTATCCTCTTAAAAATAGTACTTCGTTAATAGGGAGGCGATAGAACTTGAAGTTTTAGAATCATTGGCAATAGCAGTCTGAAACTTCCATCAATTGAACACGCAATTAAGCGCAAAATCTTTGACTGCCTTAAGAGATAATGTTTGCTCCCCCTGTAAATGGTATTTTAAAAGATTTGATCATTCTAAGTCTACAAGAAACAATGGTTTTTCAGTAAAACTGCCTAAAGTCCACCTCGAATTTGGGAAAAATAGCTTTTAATATCAAAGAGCCAAGCTTTTTAATGAACTCCCAATAGCACGTCGATCCTTAACTTCCAGAGAATTTTATTTATGATCTATAAAATGTTCATCTTTTTTAACACAGTATAGTTATAGTCTTTAAGCATTTTATCTTAGAGTCAAAGCTTATCCTATTTTTTATCTTTTATTTGTTTATTCATTTATTTTTTTCGGGACCCCATTGATAACAGTGTTTTTATACACAGATGGGGGATATTTTATCCTGTTATAATATTCGCTTTTATTTACTTTTAACCCGGGCATTATAAACACCTGACTGCTATTTACGTCAATAGCCCAGCAAATAGAAATTCATGACAGCTACATATACATCATTCGTATTTTTACTTTCGTTTTCTACTCTTCCAACAACGCACATACTAAGGGAAGAAAAAAAAGACTTCGTAGCCTTTTTCAACCGCCTCGAGTTATCACAAGTTATTATGCTTTTTGCAGCCTCGGATGAAGGTCAGTTAGTACTGCGGTCTAACCGATATATCGAGCAATTAAATAACCCTATCTTTTTGCCCTTCTATCAGCTTGCATTTGTCATCTTCACTGTTTGTTTTCGGTTTTAATTATTCTAAGTTGTTGGATCTACACCAAGATCCGACTTAACTTCAAGTGGTCTTGCATCATTCAGCAGTTACCAATAAAGTTATCTACCTCTATCATAATGAATGGTTCGTTTTGTAGGTATATTACATAGTATATTACATGGTAGCACTTTTTGCAAAATATTATGTGAAAGTAAGCCGGATAACATAATAATACTGAAAGCGTCAATTTACAGGATAGTTAACGAACTCGCTCATCGAAAGAATTGCGTTATTGTTTCTTTTACGGCTTCCCTCACTTCTGTGATCTTCCAGCAGTATAACAACGGATTTAAAGACGAGTTTAAATACACCAAAGTAATCGTAAATTCCCTAGCAAGGAAAGTAGATAAAGGCATTCCTTTTTGAGGTGTCAAAGCTACCGCTATACAAGATGGCAGATAACAAACAACCAATGTTACCTGCACCCACAGTGCACTGTACACTGCCTTTCTGTATCGAGCTATGTTAAGTGGAATTACTTGGCTAGGTTGTCCATGGGCAACATGGTTCTGAACATAAATTTGGTTCTGACGAAGAGAGAAGAAAATTTTTGTGTAAGAGAAGATTATGGCGAGAAGACACAGAGCTATAACTATGTATTGATACCATGAAATTATAATAGTATTCAAAAAGATAGTAGATGCAACGACGATGGACAAAATCCAAAAACTAATTACGGTTATATATCCTGTTTTTAAAGTAACAATTTGTCTGTATCTGAGCCCCAGTAACAAGGCGAGAAGTCTGTCTACGCTTATTGCAGTCAATGTCAATAAAGACACTGCACACAACGTATGACTTGAGAAACTCACTGCCCAATATGCGAAATAGCAAATATTCCATCTTTCGTTCACAACAGAAATCCAATACGTCACAGCCAAAGGCCCTACAATGATACCAACACAGAGATCAGATATCGCCAGGTTACGATACAGGAGTTTGGAAGGCGGATGAAGTGAAGTTTCCTTGTGAAGAGCAACTAGGATCAGAGTGTTCCCCAAAAATGCTGCAATGGACAGAAAAATGTTCAGTGCCGAAAGAAAGATAAGCTCGCCATCTACACCTCTGATTAATTCCGCCGAGCAGTACAGTTTAACGACGACTGTTTTCTGGTCAGTTTCATAGTCAGAAAAATTAATCATTGTCATATTCCTCTGCGAGGCAAGAATCTGCACGGCACCGAGCGATGTGTTTATAGATCAGTACACTGTTTTCAAATACATAATAATATTTTTCTACCACCTCTTGAAAGTCAACTAATTACGCATCAGTCAAGTCCAGCTGCGCCCAGCTTCCACCCCCGCGCTAACCTCGGACATTAGCATTTTTTGCCTTGGATGGCAATGGGTGGGGACTCTTGAGCTGTCAAATCCCCCGGGGTGGGGAAGAAAAAAGAGGGCAAATGCCCCGTCCTCCGTCAACACTGCAACATTTTTCATTGATCGCACAGTCGAGTAGTGCCATTTTAAGCACTTTAATGTGCGATTTTTGGTTTCAATTAACGTCTTCCTTTGTAATAGTGCTATTCTAATTGAGACACGCCGTGACGACACCAGTTTATGGTTTTCACATTACGTCATCGGCGCCATGCTGGTGGACGGATGCTGGTCCACCAGCATTTGTTCATTTCACCATTGTTATTTGTGTCTCCCGAGATTGCGTGAAAACCACCTAATTGTCCTAATTATTGACATTAAAATTAATAGTGCGCTGTAAAGTTATAACAGTACTGCTATGAATAGTTTTATAAATATGAAAGGATATTCTTCAAATAACATCAATAGAAACTTAATTCAATAACCAAAAAAGCGTTGATTCACGTCGATAGCTCCCGAGTTTCGCTATGTAATTCTGGCTTGATAAGCAATGAAGAAGTGCATGCATAAAATCGAGAACATGCCTTTACAAACCTCTTCATTTTTTTCCCATCCTTGACAAATGAGCCAGTCTGCTTGTTTTTCCAGTAAAATCCTCTGTGTAGTTATACTCTGATAGGAAACTGCGTGCGTGTCAAAAGCTCGGGGCTGGCCCCGGGGTTGACAAATGCCCGGCCCCCGGGCAGTGCAAAATTTGCAAATACCACATCCCCGGGACTCACAAAGCGGGCAACTGCCCGCTCCGCAGTAGCCCGGGGGGTGGGGGGGTGGGAGGGGGCTGCTGGGCACAGCTGGAATTGACTGCTGCATAATGCATATGGCTGGGTATTTCGAGGTAATTTCTTTCTTAATTCTTCCTGTTTTTAATTTTCTCATCCTGTTTAACCAAACAAAAAAACAAAAAAAGGGCAGCTGAGTTATTGTATGTTATTTTCACCTCCGCACCAGGCTTACCTACAAAGTTGGGTGAAGCCGAACGCGCAAACTTAATTTCTCGATTTTGGCGAGACAGCATTTCGCAGGGTTTTATTTTCGCGATTTCAACAGGCAAATATGAACAAAGGATATTAAATTTCGCGATTCAAGTGTTCTCAACGTCACTTTAATGTTTGTAAAGTCGGATCATCCTTACTGACCAGTAAGATACAAGGACATGAGAAAACCACCATCGAACAGGATAAATTAAAAATCCCCCTCCCTGCAATTTTATTAGAAAGTGCGACAGCCATTTTTATCAAGTGAGATAGCTACCTTATAACAAAATTACAACAGTATTACAAAATACGACAAGCATTATTGCGTTTCGTTCGAGGTACGAGGACGCAACCTCTAATTTGTGTTGGGTGTTCTGTGCATTATTGGGTGTCCTGGGCAATTAATAAGGGAGGGTTTTTTCGAGATTGCATTCGTCGTCGTCGTCGTCGTCGACACACATTTGCCTCGCTTTGAGGTAAATTAATTTTATTTTTATTTTTATTAATTTTAATTCTAGTGAGCAGCATACATACACTTCCAGTGAACATTTTCATCTTGGAAGGAGGAGAAACCATGCTCGCCCAGGAGAAAGGAAATTTTCATGCCCCGGACGAGAATCGAACTCGCGATAGTCTTTTAGCATTTTATCTTAGAGTCAAAGCTTAGGGACTCGTCAGAAATTAGCAGGGGGGAGGGGGGGTGGAAACAGCGGGAGGGTCACAACTTTTTGAGACTCAGAAAAGGGAGAGGTCATGAAAATGGGCAATTAAAAGGGGGAGGGTCATGCAAATATATGCCCGTGATCATGTAGAGTTAACCTTTAACCTTAACGTTTGTGATGCTGCGATTGCATTCATCAAAAGTCTCAAGTTGCCACCACTCTGTGACCACATTTTGCAAGCAACAGATGCTGGCCCAGGGGTTGGTGTCACTAACATCGAAGTTAAGTACAGAGACATTGAGATGCCAAGGATTAATAGCTGGACTCACATAAACAGGATTTACAGAGCACCCACACGATTCAGGACAAAACGAAGCAGAGCGTTCCAACGCTGCTATATGTGAAGCTTTGGTTGATGGCAGAGCATTACACTGGGAATACTTTCAACCAACTGGTCTCATTAGTGAAGAAGAATTGAAAACACTCACAGTTGAAGAAATGAAAGAGCTAGAGGCAGAAGTAGTGGAGTGTAATGCATGGAGAGTAGCCCAGGATTTCGTGCCAAGAATCGATGGCCAGCCCGGACCAGCTGGTGACTGTATGAAGGCCTTTGTTACCAATTGTAAAGAACAGCAGTTCTTTTTCAATACCGAATATATTCAGCAATACAATGCTGCAAAGTCGGAGACGAGAAAAGTAAAGGTCCCAGGACACAACTATTTCAAAAAATTAGATGACTTCATAGAATCGTGTATGACTACTGGAGAAATATTTCACGAGTACTGTGAAAATGAGTCAGTGGATCCCACCCCTCGTCCAGTTCCAGACATCAACAAACTTCCAAAGTATCACTATCTGCCTGTTGCAGAAACACCCATCACAAATACAGACGACACTAAGAGAAGAGAAGTTGATGATTATCACCTTAGAGCATGTTTAAAGCAAGTCCACGAAAAGAATGAAATCAATATCGAGGATCTTTTGCAACAGATAAATTGTTGAAGAAAGTCTTGTGAAAAAATACCTAGAACATTTAAATCATTTAGAGATGATGAGTGACAAGAGAAAAATGGAAAAGAAAAACAACAAATTGAAAGAGAACACAATGTCTTATGAGGAATTTGACTGCATGGAAATGCTGAACACGTGCAAAACAGCATGTATGTGTTCTGGACGAATACATCCATAAACATAATTTGCTTGTAGTGAAAGGTAAAAACAAGCCCCAGAAAGTCAATGCTATTATGGATCACGTACGGTCATTTGCCGAGAGCACCCAAACAAACAAACAAAGCTGCCTCAGTGTGGAAAAGGTGGATGATCATGATAATGATGTGACGTAGATGAAGGGGATGAGGCATTACCCACTTGTCCTAGTGATGAAGACTTTGTATTGGGAGAAATAGGAGAGTCGAGTGATCAGCTTTCCTTAGCTGTCAGAATCAGAGTTGGACTCGTAATACTGTCATCTAAAATGTAAGTATATAGCATTACAAAGAACAGGTTAGAAATATATTTTGAGTTTTCATAATACTGACTCACCCGAGTGTATTGCTAGAACTAGATTTTATCATATATACAAGAGGGGGAGGGTCATGATATTTTAGGCCAAGCTCAAGGGGGGGGGGGGTTAGCAAAACTCCCATTACAGGGATGGGTTACCTCATTTCCGAACCCAAATTTAAAATTCCCACCCCCCCTCCCCCCTGCTAATTTCTGACAAGTCTCTTATCCTATTTTTTAATCTTTTATTTGTTTCTTCATTTATTTTTTTTCGGGACCCCATTGACAATAGTGTTTTCATACACAGATGGGGGATATTTTATCCTCTTATAATATTCGCTTTTATTTACTTTTAACCCAGGCATTATAAACACCTGACTGCTATTTACGTCAATAGCCCAGCAAATAGAAATTGATGACACCTGGATATATAATATATAGATTTAGCCAGGGCTAAAAGCGAAGCTCCCATTAATAAATTTATAATTTAGATCAAACAATATACCTGTAATCTACAAATCGGTTAACTTGAGGGCACATATGTGACTTTTTAGGGAAAGCTAAGGCTAAAAGATTTTAGAGTGAAAAAAATGTTACATCGATTTGATAGCCTTATATGTACACCCAAAAAATAGCAATTATCTTCGATCACATTTAAGAGCCATGACGACTCTTGATCACAGTAGTTCGGCCTGGAAAACGAATTCTTGGAAAACAAATCAGACCGAATTTTTGACGTTCGACAAGTTTACCTTACAAAATCTTGCCAACAAATCTGGGTGTGTGTAAACCAACATTTCATACTTTTTATACATCACATCTGAGGTGAAACAGTAATATGAGGCGCTGTTTTTATCATACAGACCTCAGACAAAATGCAGTATTTCACAATTTTTTCAAAACAAATATTCAGAACCATTGAAGCACACGTGGGCTTTTAGCAAAACCGTTCAAAAAATTTCAAAAAACCCCTATACGGCCAGCCGGTTCTCACTTTTGACAAGCGCCAAATTTTCAGTAAGCATTAAAAAAGTTACGCTTCAACATAATAAAGAATTTATTGCGTTTATTTTTTATTCAATGGTTTTAAAACGAAGTGTAATCTTAAAAAGCATTTGATACGCGCGGCATTTTGAGTACTCCTGCAAGCGATGTTTATGAACGACTGAAAACAAACGGCAAAGTGATTAAAATTGCAAGAGACTACTAACGATCAATAAAAGAAATATAATTCGGTGAAACATTTACAGAGACAAAAATTTTCATTCACGAAGACAAGTATTAAAGCGTCTCTAAAAATCCTAAGTCCTTAAGCTGAAGCTTAAGGCTTTTAGCCGGCTTCCCGGTGTTTACTGTTTTCAAAGATGAACTCGAGGCAAGAAAATCGCTCAAAGCTTTCTTTCTACAGCCAAAATTATAACTAAATACTCTTCGGAACATTTTTTCTTTCTGTTTGCGGAGAGAAAATATCGACTAAAGGTTTTTTAAAGTTCTGTAAGCTTATATCAAATCTCATACTAGGTCAGATCATTGTCTCAGATCTTAATACAAACGTGCATAAACTAGCCTCATAAACTGCGCTCGACTTCATGAAATTAGATATGAAAAAACAAACACAATAATTACTCAGGCT